TCTGAGCTCAGCTGATGTGTTTTCCTCTTGTCCTTCAGGTTTCTGAGGTATTCCAGTTATCTCCTTCATCCACCCCAAGACAGCACAACTTTGGAAGAATTTCTTCAGGCAGAAGACAGGATCAAGGAACCCTGCAGGTGACCAGGTTCAGTTTCTTCCAGATCTGGCAGCAAATGGGCAAAATTGTTTTGCTTAAGGCTAACCAGGCAGACGGTCTTCAATATGCTGTCCTCCCACAATGATATTTATCTGCTTTGGACAACAACTCTTGGTGGCTTTTCTTGGGTGCATTGCTGGTCTTGACTGGTCACGAGCCCAGGAGACCAAGCTATTTATCTGGGCAAGGAGTACTGAGGTAACCTATGTGCCTCTGTAAGAAATCTGCCATGAGTTTCTCTTGTCAGTGATTGATTGGGCATCATCTGCTGGGGAAGTTCTCCTGGCCAAGCCCCATTGAAATGAACAGGTAGTTCTACTATGCCTGTGGGCTTCGCCCATCTATTTCAGTGGGGTTTGTGTTCAAGGAGCTCTTTACACTTTTGGCCATTCTCATGACTGATAAATATTGGCTTCTTCCAAAGTGGCCTGTAATTGTTTCCCAGCCAGGGGGTCCTAGTGGACCATGCCTGTTCCGATGACAGTGATATGTCTGCTGGTCCCCAAGAGACTTTGCAGTTCTGTATTGCCCCTGTCATTCTGCCTCCCAAGGCTTCCATCTCTTTCTCCCCTGGCCATGTGTTGGCGTGGACCACTCTGGCTGTATCAGTGACACTGGTGGATTAAAAGCTGTGTTTAACTCCACCTCTCTGTGGATTTGGTGTCTGTCTTGTCCTTTCCCCTTGCAAATGCCTGGATACCCCTGGAACTAATGTGATGTTAGAAATCTGTGAAAAGGTTGTTGTTTTTCAATTTAGACAAGGTTTGTGAGTTAAAACTCTTTTTTTTTTTCATTCATGCTTTTCTAAAACTGTGTCCTATTATTGTGAATGCATTATTTTAATGAATTTATTTTATGGTTTAATTAGCTGCCTTGGGCTTCCTTTCAAGGAGGAAGATGGTTTACATTGTTTTTTAAATAAATCATCCCTAGGTTAATTTTAAAATGTACTCAGAACTACCAGGGCCCCCTTTGCAAATTGGAACGCAGCAAGCATTGAAAGAAAAAGTAAATTCTACCATGCCTCACATTTTTTTTTAAAGAAGGCTTGCAGCAGCTGGCTTTAACATCTTCCATAATTGGAAATGTTATGCTAAAAACTTGAGTTAGGAGCTGCCGGTGCTGAAGATCTTGCAAGCAAATTGTACTGTAGGGATTGGTGTGAAATTCCTGCCAAATCAGTGCTACCTCTGCCCTGGATGTGCTCTCTTCACTGCTGATCAGAGTGGTGAGACGGGTCCTGCTTGAGGAAGTCCTGGAACCCAGCATCTGTTGAGTGAGCCTGAAGGGACTTTTTGAAGCCAGAGTTTTCCTGGTAGATATAGTGATACCCTCTCCTCTTATCCTGACCCCGGATAACTGTCTGAGAAGGGAGAGCGTGCTCCCAACCCCACTCAGGGTTTAACACCTGCATGGGGACTTGAATGAGGGTTCTCCAACCCCAAGTGGACATTCATTTTGTCATATTTGGTGCCTCCTTATTCTTAGGAATGCTGCTGGCTTGTCTGGTGATCCTCTCTCTCAGCAACCTCGTAGCCCAGATTTTTTCCCAAGCAGGGAATCATGTCTCTCCTGTGCCCCACACAACCCCTGCTAGAGTTAAGCCCGGTGTCTTATCTCAGCAGCCCACTCCTGATTGTCTTCTGAAAGCAGGAGAGTCTTTTTGTCCTTCAGATGGCCGGGGATGCACCTCTGGCTACGTCTAGCAAGAAAAGCGCAGCCACTGTTGTTGTAGGCTAGGGGATTTTGAAGAAAAGGCAAGTGTGTGTCTCACCCCCACCACTCCAATAAGGTTGAAATGTTACTGAAAAGGAAGGATACCTTTTGTAGGAGGATAGTGGTGGTGGTGGTGGTGGTGGTGGTGGTGGGACCAGGCCCTAGTCTGCCCCAATCACACAAAGGACTAGCTCTGTTGCCTCAGATGCTCTCCAGCCTTGCCTCAGCAACACAGCTGGCCCAGTAGAAAGGAGCCTGCTGCGTGATACCAGCCAGGCTGGAAAAGGAGCAGCATTTTAGGAAAACGGCCAGAGTCGTTCATGTTTGCTGCTCAAGAGGCTCTTAATAATGCTGAAAACTCTTCTCTGGGAGAGTGCGCTCTTGGTGAAGTGAAGTTAAAAGTGGCTGGAAACAGTTGCCTCCTCGAAGAGAGTATGAACATTAACTCCTTGGTGAGATCAAGTAGCAGGGACATACGCTTCCGGGTCACTGCAGCAGGTTGCGATACGTCACTTGCAGCAAGGTGGGGTTGTTGTTTTTTTGCAATTGCCACTTGTGACTAAACAAGCCGCTTTTGCTCCATGGGCAAATGCTGTGCCCAGCTGTTACTTGTGAACTCAACCGCAGTGGCACAAGGGAACCAAGGGCCTGCCAGTATCCTCAACTGCCATTGGTTGGCTGGCTTTGTTTGTTGGCTTAAAAGAAAGAACACCACTGGCTATAAGTGAATTGCAAAATTTATTGGAATGTCTTCATTTGGCAAGGTAGTTCAATCATCACTCCCCCTGTGCCTCAGGAGGACTTAGGAGGAAGAGAAATAGAACAAAACAGACACACACACACGTAAGGGCACTTTTTGTTTCCAGAAGAAGAAAAAGACAGCTTGTCACATTTGAACTATATTCTCCAACTCTCCTGACCCGTAAAACACACGCACGCACACACAGGGGAAAGAAAAAGGAATCCCAACAGCAGATCGGGAGCAGAAACCGTAGCAACATGTCGTCAAAATGCAGAAACAAGCGACCAGAGTAGTAGCTTAAAGGCTTCCAAAGGCTTCAAAGCTGTTACAGAGCTCTGCCGTGTAGGCAGGTGCCAGGCTGGAAGCCGCTCCGAGCAGCAGGTGCCCAGCTCTGATGGAGCAGCTCCAAAGTCAGCTTGCCCCTCCGAAACCGCAGCCACATCTAAGCCACAGTGGGGCAAAGGGACATCACGCGCTAATCACAGCGAGCACAGTGGCAGGCAGAGGGGAGGGAGGAGAGACGACAGAGTACGCATTCTAGAAGGGGGAAGCAGAGAGGCTGAATGCAGAACGTTCCCTCAGTCTGGATGCGGCCTTGGAGAAGTGGAAGGCAAGCTGGCTCTAAAATCCCAGTTGGGTGCACAGCCATGCCCAGTTATGGATTCGAGTCCTGACTGGTCCAGGGGACTTGGGGTGGAGAGAGATGCTCAGTGGGATTACATCCCCAAGGATAACCACTTTTTTTAAAACAAGAAAGAGCGACTTCTGCCAAGGATAAGCCACACAGCATCTTTCTTTTCCTTTCTCAAACTCCCAGCCAGAGGAGAAGGCTGGGCCTCAGGGAGTTCAAGATGGCCTTGGAAGAGCAGAGGAGCTGCCCATCCAGGGAAGGATGCCTACTATAAAAGAGCCGAACTGTCTAAAGCAGCAGCTCTCAATCCGAGGCTGGATACAGCAAAGCAGCAAGATGTGCACTGCAGATCCTGCCGTCCCTGAGCACACCGATGTCACAAACAAACCCAGCCTACCTTCTGTGGGAGGGGACGGTTTTGCTTCTCTGCCTTCCCAAAGGAGCAGATCCCCTGGGGTAGTTTCTGTGAGTTCTGCACACTCCCCTTCCCCTTTGAACATTTATTATTAATCGGGGAGTTACTGGAGAAAACTCCAGTTGTATGCAGGGACTTTTTGCAAACTCCGGGCTGGAGCCCATCAGTGCAGAGGCACTTGGACAGCCACAGGTGACTGGTGTGAAGCAGCCGCCTGTGCCTCTGAGGTGGGCTGGCGGATATGCATTATCCCCACGTCTGCATTAGACTGCTCATGCCTGAAAGGGGAGGAGAAGCACTTCCAGATGGGCCACTGAGCCAATCCAAGGGGCAGGGAGGCTGGCTTGGCTCAACCTGCCTGGGCAGCGCCTCTAGCGCAGACAACCACCGCATTCGAGCCCCCAGGGATGGCTCTGAGCATCTGATACAAGAGCAATGCTTTCAGGCAGCACAACACACACATTGAAGGTACAATTAAATTAGTAGCTTAAGATTGTATCCTAACACAGACTTGAAGGCTCAGGGTACGCAATGTGCTTTGCAACAGGTTTTAGAAAATAAAAATAGATATTGAACTAATCGGCAATTAAAATGAAACACCACCACCCCACTCCACTCCCACCTCAGAGAAAGGTCTGACTGTGTCTTTCGGACATGCTAAGTCTCAACCTTTTGCCAGGGGAAGGGGAGTTCCATAGTGGTGGGGCACACACAGCTAAAGCCCTGCAAGCTCTCACTGTAGCAGATGGTGCACAGATGCTATTGCCGCCTCCTCAACTGCCTCCAGTAGCTGCAAAAGGCCACTGGGGAGGAGGCAGATTCCACTGGGGGGGGACCAGGCCTCTGAAATCTTTAATGGTCAAAACGAACAGCTTGAACTGGGCCTGGGGAGGTTAAGGAAGCGAGCGCCTTCAGCTCTGGAGCCACACAGCTCCCTCCCCACTCCCCACCCCTCCCCACAGTGTCCCCAGCCATTCTTTACCAGCTTCAGCCACCAAACCGCCATCAAGGGGAGCCCCACGCTGTTAAGCCTCAGGGCTCTTGGATGCAATACTCTCATGCGCCTTATGAGGAGAGAAAAGGAACAAAACCCCTAAAACTCAAGCCTGGCCTCACTGAATGCAGAAGACCTACAGTTTCAGTGTAGTAAACTCCCACAGATACTGTATATTCACATTAAGCTGCCTGGAGCTTTTCACTGGCTTGGTTTAAACAGAACTACTGAGGGCCAGTGGGCAAGGAAACATCCGCCCGACTATCCCACTCTGCCCCGGCATCTCCTTCACCAGAGTCTCTTCCCATTAAAAGGCGGCGGGGGTGGGTGGGCAGGCGGTGACACTCAAGTCCGCTTGGCGTGCAGCATTTCGATCAGAAGGTTGTTGCAAGGCACCTCCCCGCACAGGTGCTTGTCATAGAGGTAGTCCTCAGCCTGCATGCTGAGAGACCGAATGTCGGCTAGCCAGAGAAGCAGCTGCCGGAATTTGTCCGTGGCGTGAGGATAGTGGTAGATGGTGTACTCCAGCAGCGCCGCATTGGCTTTCTCCTGGGCATCTTTTGCTAGGCTGGAATTCTCCAGGTACTTTACATCTGCAGCAAAAATGAGAAAAGAGTTCAAAATGAGCCCATGTTGAGGTGATGCCTAATGGGGTGCAGAGCTATTCCTGAATGCTCAGGTGAATATTGAAACGGGGACCAAGCTACAAAAGCCAATGAAATCTGGCTGACTTCTGGGGCAAAACCTGCCTGTAGAAATTCACCAATCTCCTGCAATGTCACAGAGTGTTCACAATCGCTCTCAGTTTTCCAACTGCATGCACAAAGAAGTGGGCCACCCAACATGTCAACAAGTAGTGCTGCTAACAGAGAAAAACACAACACAGAAACAAGAGAAAGCACCCCGTGCTGTTGGTAAACCTGGAGGACTAGGAGTGGGCAGAGGGTCCAGACACAGATAAGGGGCACAGCGGGCTGAGAAGCAGTGACTTAAAAGAGAATAATGGGTAGAAAAACAGATATCCAAGGGGCAGAGGACAGAGGATAATGGAACGCAAGGAAAGGAGCAGCCAAAGAGAAGTTGAGACCATCGGAAAATCTCACACTAGTGCTGTTCACAAGGACAGCCAGGTATGGGAGGTCAGGAGATTGTGGTCCAGGGAGACCCACAAGATGGTGGCAGGGGCTGCATTATATACATCTTGTTACAGGTTTGCCTGATTTATTTGAATCAGGAATTTTACATTCATGGCAACAGAACATGTATTATCTTAAAAAGCCATCTAAAAGCAGTTTGCATTTCTTATACCGCTAGTCCCTTTTTGATTAAGCAGGACTAAAATAATTCATTCGAGCAGAACATGCATTTTTAGTTTAGATTTTTATTAAAGCTTAAAACAAGGAACTACAGACTCCCTACTAACTCCAGTTCAAACCTTGTGTATATAAAATAAACTGGGGGAGGAGATCCCAACAGAGGCCATGTTCCAGCATCCACAAGATGTGTGATTCCCCAAAATGTGCTCCTTTTTTGTGCCCTACACAAAAGCAGCAAATACATTTTAGAACACAAAAAAGATGCCGCACATCTTAAGGTCCTAATGTAAGGCAGCTGTGGAAATTCATCCCCAGGGCAATTTTTCATTTCCTGTCCATGCCTTTTGGGCACCTGCAGAGCTCTCACCTTCCGTGTAAGGCCACAGATTGTGTTCCTCTCTGAACAGCGCCTGAAAAGATCACCTTAATCTGCTCCGACCTCCCCGAAGTGGCAACACGGATCAGGCAACATGGAAACCTTTATCCCTGGTGTGCCTGGAGCTGTCGCTCAGGAAGCAGACATTGGCAAGTGGCTCTGCTAAACCTACGGCAGAAGGGCCCTTCGTGCGGGGATGCCTTCCTTGGAAGCGAGAGATGCAGTTGGCAGGCATGAATGCAAGGCGATAAGCAGATCCCCCTTAAGCTGGCAGGCTGCCTGGGGAGGCGAGCCTTTTCATCCCAATCAGGTGAGAGGCAAAGGCAGGCAAGGGCCTTGCTTCCTCTTCTTGTATGACCGGCCTCCGGTGTGGGGGGGGAGATAGTGGACCAGGCTGAGGCTGCACGGTGCAGTGGGTCAGCCCTGCTGGCTGATTTGCCCCATGTATTTATGCATCCATTGCTTGTGGCAGCTTCTCAGCTGAGGCAGCATTAGCTAATGATAGAAAGAAAAGATGTGATGAGGGGATGCCGGGGTTCCCTGGGGCCAGCTGGAGTGCCCCCCCCCAACCATGGTCTCTCCCTCCCAGTTCTGACTCTTGGCTGTTCCTGGCAATTTTGCTTTCTTGCATGCCAGTATACCCCAATGGCCTTTCTTAGGTGGAGCTTTCCAGTTCCACAGTGTGCTAATTCTTCCTTGAGGCTTCCTCTTGAAAGGGCTAGCCAGCAAATTAAGCAAGAACAGAGCTGTCCAATTGAAACAGCGCCCTTTGCAAATGCGTTACTGCACAGGATGTTTTGGAGGACATTAATTCATAGGGTTGCCGTAAGTCAGAAGCAACTTGAAGGCACTTTACACACACACACACACACACACACACTTAAGTGATCTAAACAAAAGTTTTGCAAAGTTACTCTTCCACAGAGAGAACAAGATACGAAACCAATCAATACCCCTTGAGAGACTAGAGAGAGCTTTCTGTTATTACACCCACGGCTTGTTCTCCCTCTGTTATGTTCCTTTGGGGTCACCCTTTGCTCAGCAACCTTCTGAGTTCTCCCACCTGCTTGTCTCACCGCTTTGAAGCCCTCCCGGTGGCCTGCCCCCACCCTTTCAGATGGACCCCGCAAGGACAGCCTGTGCTGCTCTTTCTAGTAGAAGCTGGAGCAACACAGCCAGGCTGGGGGAACTGCAAATGTGCCTCCAAATGTGCCTCCTTCTGGTTTTTAAAAAGAACCAGCAGGGGGAAAGTGCTACACACTGTTATGTTTCTCCAGACTGCATGACTGAAGGTCATGGATATGTGCATATTCCATCATTGCTCAAGGGGTGGCTGGCACATGTGACCAAACATAGGAAACTGCATTATTCAGAATCAGAGCATCCACCCTACACAACACACTATGGCTAGCAGTAACTTTGCAGAATCGCAACCAGAGATGCCCTGGACTGAGCCTGGGACTGTCCTGCATACAACTCAGATACTGTGCTACAGAGCTACGGGATCAGAATGTCACATCTCTTCAAACATATGTGTGTCACCAGGTGCTGAGAAATCAAGTATCATGCATGATTCAGCCATTATAAATCAACAAGGAAGTAAATGGGAGCCATGAATTAGCAACATCCACTGGGGCCCCATTTTTCTTGGAGGGGCCCTTCTGTAGGCCCAAACAGCTGTCAGATGTCAGTCACATCAAGGTTGCTTCCACATGGAGATTTTGCTCTGTTTCAGAATTCAGTCTGGAGCAGGGTATTGTGTGTGTCCCCCCCCAGAACAATACCGACCCCTAACCATCCACTATCCCTGTTTTTGCCTGCTTTGCCCTGATCTTTCTCATACCTGATTTGTTATGAGCTTTTGGGAAAGAGCACAGTACAAAGTGTGTTTGCACATGGTATGGACAGGAAGGTGCACATTTTTGCAGCTGCCAACCACATCTGTGCCATTTTCCCTGTCCCAGGGCCTGTGACTGTCATTTCCCTACCCACTATACCACTTTAAGGGGAAAAAACAAGAACTGACATATCGCTATAGCAGAGATACAGCAGAGTTTAAGTTAACAGCAGTATATTCATCACTTATGGTAACTGACATATCACTGTCAGTTACAGAATGTAATTTAACATAGCTACCATTTAAAATCCCTTATTTGGCATAGGGCTATAGCTTAATACTACAGCCATATGTCAATTACTGATGTTTTTAGCCAAAAGGCTGATGTTTTTAAAAAGCCCTCTAGGGTGGGATGTTGATGACCACAGAGGGCTGGGGCAACCAAAAGGCAGGGGGAGATCACCCTGTGGATGCTCCAGTGCCAGAGGCATTCACGGCAGTAGTAAGAACTTCATGGAGGATGGTTGCTGTGCAGAAACAACCCAACAGCCTCCCTGCCTCCACTGCAAGCAAACGAGTTGGTCTGGGAGGCAGCAAACTGCCCGCCAGCATCAGCTGCTCGATGTCACATTCTGCATTCAGGGCCTGCAGCTTGCCTGTCACTCCCGGCCTGTTCCTAGTTGCTGAAAAGCCCTGGGTCTTCAGTTCTGGCTGAGTGGGAAAGAGGCAACACGCACACTCCCTTATAATCAGACGCATCAGCATGAAATCTCTTTATCTGCTTAATATTATTGTGATTGTCACATTTAGAAGTTATATTGCTAAATGTCAACTCTCTACCCTGAGTTGGCTCCACAATAGCAAGTTCTTCTCAACGACTCACCTGGTTTGGAAAAGAAACCCTATTCACAGTTTAATTGAATATTTGAATAATCTTTTCATTCCTGCAAGGCATAAAGAATGTTGTCCAAATAACATCGACTCACTTCATTTAGAGCCTCCGCTGCGGCTGTAAAGACTCTGTCCTCTGACAAAGCAGCCCCTCACACAAGCGGAGCTGCCGGGACGATTTCTATGCCCTGAAGTGTTCTTCCTATTCACGGCTCCTTTTGTTTGCCGGAGGCTTCTGATAAATTGCAACCGCTTAAGGGAATGCAGGCTTATAAAAGCCGCTCTTGCTCCCCTCCCCTGGAGTGGCTGCGTGGTGAATGGAAGTCAGGCAGCCGCGGTAGGGGTCAATCCATTAAGGCCCTATTAAACCCTTCTGGAGAACAAAGCTAACCTGTGTGCCAACCTCATAAATATTGCTATTTTGAGAAGCCCTAATTTTAATTAAATCTCTTTACCTGCTCAGGAGAGAAATCTATTTAGGCTCAAATGGCAGCCTCTTGTGCTTGCGGGTGCGAACGAACGTGTGCGTGTGTGTATGTGCGGTTTAGCTCTGATTGTGCTACAGCCAAGAGAGAAATGTGAAAATTCGTGACAGGCAATTACATCTTACATATAATAAGCCAGGCATCTCCGTACAGCTGAGCCTGTGAAGGGCAAATGGCTCCCAGCACGCTCTGCGGTACAGAGAGAGAAAAGTTGGATGTGGGGCAGCAATGCAGCGCCGGCAATGGTAACCTTTTGTTCCTGGTTCTCTCCTGAAAGCTTGGGGGAAAGGAGAAAGGACAACAACAAGGCAGAAGTGTAACGCAATGCGCAAAAAGGGATGGGAGGGGGTGCTTTTGGACCTGGGGTGTGGTGCTGGAGGATGGAGAAAGGCTTAGCTACGGGGGGGGGGGCAGGCCTGGGGTGCTGCTGCCTTCCTCCAGAAAACCTTCCCCTCCCTCCCTCCCTCTGAAGCAGGGTCCTGGTGAACTCACGGAAGCCAGAGGGCATGAGGGATTTCTGCATGAGGTTTTCAGCAGTCAAGGAGAGGGGGCAATGGACTGATTTCAATGCCCTGCAAAGTTCCTCTCCCTCCCCTTTAACACCAAAACCAGGGGGGGAAATGCCGAATGAATTACATAATTTGCATAATATATGGAAGTTGCAGAACCAACTTTTCTTGGTGCAGAACTAGGATTATTTTTAGCATCAAGTACACACACAGACAAATCCACAGAAAGCTTTTACAGTATTCACTGACAGGCCTCCAGAAAACCATTGCTTTTCCTGGTGGAGTGCAATATAGAAAATATCCATAGATTAACTGGAACACCATAATGGAAGAGGCTGAAAGACCCATGGCTGATCATCCACAAGTGATCTGCTCCTTCCTCCCTCAGCCTCTTGCAAAGTGGGCCTTTACTGCAAAATCCTTTACTGCGCTGCTGCACCAGCTGGGCCAGAATACTCCCAACAGTGTGTACACCCAGCAGGTCCAAATAAGGGATAAAACACACAAGGCCACCTTCCAGTCTTTGCCACTTCAGAATGCCCGTGATGGCACCTTCCTGTTTATGCCACATTGGTGGCTGATTCCTTGGCCACTAGCAGGAGATGAAACACTTCGCAGGCTACCCAGATCCATTCGAGCAGGTCTGTGCATTGGCATGCATCAGCATCTGAGCAGAAGAGGCACAATTCAAGCCCAGCCCAATTCACCAAAGATATTTTGTCTAGGTAAAAAGTGAATGTGTGAAGTGTGCCACAGAGCTAATCTCGAGTAATGTGTAACGGGCCGCCACGTTGGAGGCTGCCCTGGATTCCTCTGACGCAAATCCAACCAGATAGCATCTGCCTTTGCCCCCACCAACATGGTAGCAAGAGATTGTCAACACCTTTATTTTGCAAAGGCCATATCAACTGGTCTTGGCAACAAACACTCAATGCAAACAAATCCTTCTTTTGAGGTTTATTGATAGGAGGGGACCAGGATTATCTGGGCCAGATGGCAAGGAATTCTCTGCCACGGGCTGCTGATTCTGTGTCCCAGTGGGCAGTTTCAGATTTTACGTAGCCTATGGAAAAACCTTTGTGCCAATCTGGTGGGTGCTACCACGCTGCAAGAAGATGGGCCTTTCTACAAACCAAAAACTCCAAGGGAAATAGCATCCGTACAAGCAACAGTAAAACACTGGAACATGCAACCTTTGTAGAAGGGGAGACTGCAACATTCAGGAGATGCAGTGCTTGGAGTACAAAACATGGTATGGGAAATATTTGGAGAGGGTATAGAATCCACAGATGGAAGCAGAAAAGTGGCCCATGTGGAAACTTGCAGGAGAATCAACACAATTGGCTTTCCCTGGGAATCTTGCCATGGGAGCCATTTCTGCAGCCCCTGCTACGGCCTCTGCTGCGTCGACCCCGGAAGAAGCAGAGAGGCTTTGCAACATGGACTGTGCTCTTCAGGGTGCAAGGGCCTGGTAACCGAAGACCAGCCGCCCAGGCCAACCTGTGCAGAAGAACACAGGAGGGGAGAGAGGATAATTGTAGGAGGTACCTTTTTTGCCCCCTGTTCTCAGAATCACAGAGATGGAAAAGCACAAAGAAAGAGACCTCTGCATAAAGGCAGGGGCCTTCCACCCACACAGAACAACCCATGCAAACAAGCAGAGAGCAGGGATACCACAGAACAGTTCCTACAGAGTAACCACTCTGTTGTGCAGATGACTCATGCACTTGAGTCTTTAGTTCCTCCTGGCCCCTATGTTCCCCCTTCCACATGTTCCTACAACGCCCCCCATTCCTTCCCTTCCCCTCCCCACTTACCGAGACTGAAGAGGATTAGGAACTTCAAGCAGACAAACTCCTGCCTGTCTGCTTGGAGGGAATGCAAGTGGAGTGCCAGCTCCTGTGCTCTCAGCACCAGGTTGTTCAGGGTAGACCCTGCCTGCATAGCGACTGTCGACATGTCCACCTAGAAACACAGGAGACATAAGAACCATAAGAGAAGCCAATCTTGGATCAGGCCAAAGGCCCATCCAGTCCAACACTCTGTGTCACACAGTGGCCAGAAATACCAGGTGCCATCAGGAGGTCCACCAGTGAGGCCAGGACATTAGAAGCCCTCCCACCGTTGACTCCCCTCAAGCACCAAGAAGACAGAGCATCACTTGCCCCAGAGCCCCTATCTATACCTTGGGGCTCAAGTTCCATCTCAGGAGAGAACCAGGAGAAGGCCCAGACAATTGGCTCATTGGCCACTTAAATAAAAGGACCCTCTACATACAGATAGCGCTTGGAGAATATGTGACTAAACAAGTGTACTAATTAATTTAAACAAATGTATTAAAGAATAGCAACCTCTTATTAGCAGAGAGGTATCTCAATGAAATGGACAAACTGAAACATTTGATCCAATAGCTGAAATGTAAATCTGACATTTCTGGCCACTGTGTGATACAGAGTGTTGGACTGGATGGGCCTTTGGCCTGATCCAACATTGGCGTCTCTTATGTTCTTATGACATTTTAAAATTCATTTTAAATTCAATAATGGGCAATGTTTTTCCCCTCTATCAACAAAATGACTCAATGCTAAGCAAGATAATTACTTTAGGGGAAACGTTTGGCTTTAGCAACCCTCTGTGCTTGATCCAAAATGTCAGGTTTAGAGCAGTCTGTGGCTACTGGATCAGATTCTTACGCTGTATAATCCGTCTCATGCATAGACAAATCCATGCAGGACAGGATTATCACTGACCACCAGTCATGACATGCTCAGAGGCAGCACACCTCTCAATACTTGCTCCTCAAAAAGAACAACATCCTCACAGTTATTCTGCTTAATGACTGACTGAAAGGGTTTTTTTTATCATACTTATAATCCGCCTTGAGTCTAAATGAGCAAGGCAGCGTAATAAATGAATAAATAAATAAATAATAATAAAAAACACCACCACAACCAGATCTATCTGGATTTGCTACTGGGACACAGAACATTGGATTAGAGGTGCCTGCTTGGTGTCACTCATCTTTAACATATCATGAATATCACAACCCGGCCCACGGACATGAGTGCACAGACACACGTACCTCCTGGCCCGTCACCAGCAGCATGCTATGCTCCTTCCCATACTGCACTTGCCGAAAGATGTGGTCCAAAACCAGCAGCTCACTCCAGCAGTTCTGCAGCAGCTTCATCTGGTCTCCCACCTGGACAGAGAGAAGCAGTGGCTAAGAGGCATCCTCCACAGCAGAGGAATTGCTTTGCTAAGCAAAGAAGAGTAACTTCCTTACTCCACACCCCCAAACAATGTTCATACCACACACACACACACACACACACACAGTTTAAAATGCAACACGGAAGCTCTCTGAGGGGCAGTTGTGGATAAGGAGCATTTACTATCCTATATGCAAGTGATTTTGATCCAGGAAACTTGGGGGGGGGTGTTGTGACAGAAGGTGGGGGTTGTTGCTATGTCATCATTTGATCTCTGCAGGAAAGCGTGCTGTGGGTAAGTCTGCACTGCAGTGGAACTGAAAGTGCAGCTCTGGCCTAGGAGAAGCATCGGAGCCCTTTGGGGTAGATCCTTGAGATCAGACATTGTTCTTGCTAGAAACAACCATGATGGGTCCAACAAAAGAAGGGTGGAGGGACGTGGCCAGTAGGACATGACAGGAAGGGAATGGAGATTGGTAGCCCCAGAATCCATTCTTGGATCTGGATCCCAATTTTCCTTTATTATGCACGAGACGGGGCTCCTTTTTGACAGTGCTGAGTGTGTGCAAGGTGTCTCGGCTCCCACGCCTCTGAAAAGGAGGGCTGGGCTTCAGAGCCTGCGGCTGCCAGGCCAGCTTTCAAGACGCCGCCACCTCCCTTGCCACAAACAGAGGAAGCGCAGAGCAAGCCGGCTCTTTTCAGCTGCACTCCTATCTGTGCTCTGTCACCTCCCCAGGACAAGAATCTCACCAAACTCTTAACAAAATGTCTCTGGGCGCATCCCCCAGTCAACAGAGCAAGAAGAGGGAGAACACCCCTGTTGTTTGCTACACAAAAGGGACAGTGTCTCCCGGGATGCTGCGCTGGATACATTTTGCTCTCAAAAATACAGTGTTTGTTCTTCTGCCCTGCAGGAATGTGGAACAGAGAGCCTTCCTTAACCCCCCTAGTGCCAGGCTGGACCCTCACTTGCCTGGCATTAAAACTGCAGACCAAGGAGCAGGGAGGGGATGTTGGCATTGCTCCCGTTTCTTGTTGCAGCAGGGCAGACATAGTCCAGTGGCCACGAGAAGGTGCCGGGACTCCAGTACCAACCACACCTCCATGTGGCCTGATTTTATTTAGGAAATTAATTATTCTCCACTTTTCTCCCTAACAAGAACCCAAAGCAGCTTATAGAATAGAGGCAACATGTGTGACCTCCCTCCACTGCACACATTAAAAATGTTCTATAAGTTATAGCCAGCGTGGCGTAGTGGTTAGAATGTCAGATGAGGATTTGGGAGACCCAGGTTTGAATGCTGACTCTGCCCTGGACGCTCGCTGGGTGACCTTGGACCAGTCACACAGTCCCAGCCTAAACTACTTCATCCAGGATGTGAAGATAAAATGGAGATGACAACTGTGTAAGCCATTCTGGGTCCCCACTGGGGAGAAAGGCAGGGTGGGATAGCTGTGTTAGTCTGAAGCAGCAGAACAAAGTCTGAGGCCGTTGGCACCTTTTAAGACCAACAAAGTTTTATTCAAGGTAGAAGCTTTCATGTACACACACACTTCTTTGGATACCATGAAATGGAAATTACCAGTCCATACACAGCAGAGGGTGAGCAGCAAATTAGCACACAGTGTAATGAAGATGTTTAACAGATTCAAGGACCGAACAGAAATAACAAGCTTAGTTTATATTGTTACCATTTGTTTGGGTAAAATGGGGGGGGGACACAGTGAAGGAAATAAATATGTCAGCATTGGAGACTGATGGGCCGGCAGATGTATCCTTAACTGTGGAATGCTGAGAGTAATTAACTGAGAACCCTGCCCTCATGCTCCATCCATCTCCTCTCAAGCATGGAAGTGACCCTACAACATCTTCTTCTTCTTTGAAGTGGGGCGATTGGCTGAGTACAGTTATACCCCTTAATCTGCTGGCCATCACCTAACCCTAGGTCCAGCCAGCTGCTTTCCTTACAGGAACCTGTATGACAACAGCCACCGTGGGCATCACTCACAAATGTATAAGGACAACAGATACAACAGATGAGGGAACAGGGAAAAAGAGGTGGGACTTGGGCCCCCCGGATATGCAGTAGAGTAGGCAAGACACCAAAATCAGAGCACAACAAACCCATCCTAAAAGGGCACTCAGAGGTGGAAAATTAGCTGCAGGTGACGTCTACGGCTCTCTCTTCCTTGATCTTATCCTGTGTGTTAGGCTGGGCTGAGAGAAAGCTACTGTCCCAAGTGAGTAGCATGACCAAGTGGGAATTAGGTTTCTCCCGTCCTAATCTAGCTACTCTATGCCATAATAAGTACCTATATTCAGCAGACCATTTAATCAACAATAGCTTTAAATCAACTAATGGATGCTACCATTTAATCAACAATAGCTTTAAATCAACTAATGGAGGCTAATTGTTAAAACTGGCAGGGCAGCAAATAAAGAGCCCATAGATGGGCGAACGAATTAAGGCTTATTTAATGTATTTCTACCATTGAGAATGAAAAAGCAAAGATTAAAAGGAATGCAACTTTCCCCCGTTTAATTGTACACTATCTTATGTTTACATCAACATGTCCAAATGGCACCTATATAGCAGTTTTGGTAATATGTAAATGTAATCAGTTGGTCAACTGAAAATTCCTTAGTCGACTGGTTGCCCTGATCCGGAATGATCACACAGGTGCACATGGTCAGTTAGAAGTCCCCACCCCTCCCCTCCCTCTTCACATCTGACAGTAAACCTCATAGCCTCCACTTGTTGCAGCATCCAAATGCAGCAATGGACACGAATACACCTTGAGGCAAAGCTGAAGCTGGCAGGTTCCAACCACCTCCTTGGGCTTGGTGACCTACCCAGCCAAGCCAGTCTCCCACAACAACCCCACCCTGCTGGCTTATCATCTCTTGCTGACTGCCAAGAGACACTGCAGAGTCACACCCGACTGGCTGCTAAGCCCCTCTGGCACCAGCCTCTCCATCCAATGGGAACATGTGCCCCTTGCACACCAGATGGTGTGCGTGGGAAACACGCTCTGCATATGTTCAGAGAAACTTCTTCCCATCATTGCTAGTTTCCCTTCACTCCTAGTAAACAGGTTCAGGAGCTGAAACATTAGTAAGTTCAGCCTCGGTGCGCTTACTAACCATGCTGGTCAATTAAGAAGTTAGCACACCAGGGCTGAGTCACAGCACCTGCCGGTGCAAGTGTTTAGCAATATGCCACAATTCCTACACAGGGCCAACATATAAAGATGGCCACATGGGAGTCTGGGTGAGAGCTGTCTTTGGAGCTAGAAAATGAATCCAAACATGCACCCCAGTATGCAGTGACTTTCTAATGGATTGAGAGTTCCCTCCACTCTGTGGTGGAAACAGCTCCACATGTAGCTGAGCAAAAATGAGACAGCTTGGTAGAACAACAAGGGAGCTGAGCCTATTATGGGTAATATACACATACATACACACGCCGCCTTCACACAGTCTGGGCCTCCAGTGCCATTGTGTGAGCCACTTCTGATAGAAAGAAGACAGATGTGGCGTTGGGGAACTAGAGAATGCCATGATTCCCTAGCAAAGGGTAGCAATAAAGCAGCACTTATGGATTGGAAGCAAAAGGCTTTGATAGCACTTACCCAGCAAGCAAACAGAGAATTCTGACAAGGAAAGGAGGGCTTTTAGAAACTCCCCAGCCCTGGATTTGCTGCCATTGCCCATGTAAAATCCTAGGCGCCTCCTCAAGCCAAGGCACACCTCCTGCTCCAGTGGCATTTCCAGTTCACAAGGAGTTTGTTACATCAGTTTGGATAACAATGCAGGGAGGTTGTTGTTGCTATGATCTGAGGCCAAGCAAGCCCCCCCCCCCAATCATCGGCTGAGGCTAAATGTCAGAGGCGAGTTCAGAAACAATGCTCATCTGAGTACCTTCTCCCTTGCTCTCTGTGGGGTCTCCATCCTTCCAGGTCCTGCCCAAAAGCAATCCACTAGCATTCCCAGAAATGCTTACCACCAGCAAGACTCTCTGGCCACCAGTCTCTGCCTTCAACCTCAGAGAACATTAGGGGTCCCCTGGCCTTGATAAAGTTGGCCTTCCATTTTTGTATTTTACAGCTGGGAAACTGAGTCGGGAAAACTGCTTATCTCAGATAGCCCAGTGAAGTCATAGTTGTTCAAGTGAATTTTAAGGACGTTGTTGAGTCTGCATGGGAATGAACACATAGCTATTTGCATCTCATTTTCAGAAAGAGTCCTATGCTCAGTAAAAGCTGAAAATGTTACACTATGTCCCCTCCCTCCACTAAAAGAAATTTGGTTTCCAAACTATGATAATGCCTGTTCATTTTGTTAGTGTCTACACTGCTCTCCTCCTTTCCCTCTCCCAACCAACCACTGCAAACAAAGCCCTATCTCCTCTAACCAGCAGGCTGCAAACTTGTTTCAGTGGCCTTACATGGTGCAAACACCACCACAGAAATGTATATGAAAGGATCATTGCTGCCTCAGGATCACCTGTCTGAACATGCTACAAAATGCCTTAGGGAACCCCTGCTAAAGTTTTGTTCCAAAAGATCCCAAGTAACAGTTTGTCCTTCTCAAAATATATTTATTGAAAGGTGTGCCATAATTTTTTTAGGCATAATTTTAGTAGCTGTTTTATTGCAAGGGAATTTCAGAAACAAACTAGAATGGGAGACTGCTGAATTACAAGTTATTACAATATTCAGAACACTGAAACCCCCAGGGCTTAACAGAGATCTTGGGTTCTTATCTCACTACACATGCTAGGTCACTCAGTTCTCACATCTGTTTGTTAACTCTTTTATTATCTGTATGCTAATTTGATGCTATTCACAGGTTTTACCAACAGCTTTAATCCAATCTTAGTGATACTTATCACTCAGTTACTTTACTCCAATTAGCCCTTCCTGGCCACTAACACCCCTCACCCTCTCTCTACCTATATGTAATGATTGGCAAAGTCTGTTTCCATGT